TTTGGGTCCTGCAACATAACTGACTCACTTAAATTCTTAAAGTTTTTTATGAAGTCTTCAGAGTTTTTTAAATATAGTATCATGTTACCTGCAAATACAGTTTTACTTCTTTACCAGTTTAGATGCCTTTCATTTCTTTTTTTTGGGTCTCAATCCTGAGACTAGGGCTTCCAACACTGTGTTGGATAAGAGTGGTGAGAATGGACATCCTTGGCTTGTTCCTGAACATATAGGAAAAGCTTATAGCTTTTCACCATTGAATATGATGTTAGTTACTGAGTATGATTTGTCACATAAGGGCCTTCATTACGTTTCCTCTAAACCCACTTTGTTGAGAGTTGTTATTATGAATGGATATTAATTTTTGTGAAATGCCTTTTCTGCATCTATTGGGATGATCGTACGGTTTTTATCCTTCCTTTTGTTAATGTGGTATATCATGTTGATTGATTTGTGAATGTGTTATGAGAATTTCCCAGGGAAATGTAAAAGAAATGTCTTTCCCCAAATTGTGAGGGAACCAACAGGCCAAGGAACAACTCTAGACAAGTCCAGCTTGACAAGTAAGTGAATTTCATTAAGGTTTAACTTACAGAACAGTGGATGGCATTCAGGCATCTGCTCAACTGAAGTCACTGTCTCCTGCCCATTTGGCTAGCTTTTATTAGTAAGCAGGAAAGGGTGCTACATGCAAGCAGGCAGGTAAGTGTGGTGGTCCTTTCTCTTATCTTGAGATTCAACAGACTCAGTAAACATTCTTGCAGTCCGTAGGTCTCACACCTGCATCAGGAGGCAGAGGAAGTAGTCCCCCCTCCCTTTCCCTTTGAATGCAGCCTAGCAACTTGTTATAAAACGGCTACTTTAATCAAAATGGCTTTACTTTGGTCAGGTTTCAGAAGGTCATCTATATTATAGGATATTGCACCATTACATCCCTGCAGTAACTCCCACTTGACGGTGGTAAATGATCCTTCTAATGTATTTTTTAATTTCGCTTGCTAATATTTTGTTGAGGATTTTTGCATCTATGTTCATCAAGAGTTTTGGTCTGTAGTTTTCTGTTATGTCTTTGTCTGGTTTGTATCAGGGTAATGCTGGCCTTTTAGAATTAATTTTTCAAATTCCTTCCTCTTTTTGTTTTTTGAAATAGTTTCAGCAGGATAGGTGTTAACTCTTCTTGAAATGTTTGAGGTGAAGCCATCTAGACCTGCACTTTTGTTTGATAGGATTTTTTTTTTATTACTGATCCAATATCATTACTAGTAATTTCTCTGTTCAGGTTTTCTATTTCTTTCTGATTCAGTCTAATAATATTGCATGTTTCTAGAAACTTATGTATTTCTTCTAGGTTGTCCAGTATTAGTGTATAATTTTTCATAGAATTCTCTTTAAATCTTATGTGTTTCTGGTGTCAGTTATAATGTCTCCTTCATTTCTGATTTTATTTACTTGAGTCCTCTCCTTTTCTTGATGAGTCTGGCTAAAGGTTTATCAATTTTACTTATCTCTTCAAAGAACCATCTGTTAGTTTCATTGATCTTCTCTATTGCTTTCTTAATCTCTATTTCATTTGTTTCTGCTCTGATCCTTATTATGTCCCTTCATCGGCTAACATTGGGCTTTGTGTTTTTTCTAGTTCCTTTACCTTTAAAGTTAGATTACTAATTTGAGATTGTCCTTTTTTCTTCAGGCAGGCCTGTGTTGCTGTGAACTTCTCTCTGAAAACTGCATTTGTTGTATCCCAAAGATTTTGAACAATTTTCATGTTTCCATGTATTTTTTACTTTGTCTGGTTTGTTGTTTAGTAGTAGCATGTTGTTGAGCCTCCATGTGTCTGTTTTTTTTCCATTTTTTATTTTACGACTGATACCTAGTTTCATACTGTTGTGATTGGAAAAGATACTTCATACTATTCTATTCTTTTTTAATTGTATTGAAACTTTTTGTGGCTTAACATAACCTATCCTAGAGAAACTTCTATGTGCACTTGAAAATAATGTGTATTTTGCTGATTTTGGATGGAATGTTAAGATTATCTGTCTGGATAACCTATTCATTGATGTAAGTGGAGTATTACTGTCAATTTCTCCCTTTACGTCTGTTAACATTTGCTTTTTATATGTAGATGCTCCTATGTTGGGTGTATAGATAGTCACAGTTGTTACAACCTTTTATTTGGACTGAGTCCTTTTTCCTTATGTCATACCCTTGTCTCTTGATACAGTCTTTAAAGTCTATTTTGTCTGATGTAACTATTGCTACCCAAGCTGGTATATTTTTTTCCAGCCCTTCCCTTTCAATCTATGTCTCTTTAGGTCTGAAGTGAGTCTTTTGTACATGGCCTCTAGAGGGGTTTTTGGGTTTTGTTTTGTTGTTCATCTGTTCAGCCCTCTGTTTTTTGATTGGATCATTTAGTCCATTTACATTTAAGGTAATTACTGATAGTTATGACCTTTTTGCCATTTTGTTGACTGTTTCTTAATTATAGTTCCTGTCTGTTACCTCTCTTCTTTTGCTTTCTTCCCTGGTGATTTGATGACTTTCTTTAGGGTAATGCTTAGATTCCTTTCTCTATTTTTTGTGTATCTGTTACAGGTTTTTGGTTTGTGGTTACCATGAGCTTGACACATAGCATCCTGTATATATAGCAGTCTCTATTAGGTTGACGGTTACTTAAACTTGAACATATTTTAAAAGCACTTTTTAAATCTCCCCTCCATGTCTTATGTATGTTAAAATTTACAACTTTTTATATTATGTATCTATCCCTTGACTAATTTGTGTGTATATAATTGATTTGCTACTTTTGGCTTTTGAATTTAATATTAGTTTTATAGTGGTTTTCTACCTTTACTGTATGTTTTTACCACTAAATTTTTTTTCTTTTCTGGTTTTCTTCTGATTATGACCTTTTCTTTCTACTTAATCAAGTTCATATAACATTTCTTGTAAGGTTGATTTAGTGGTGATGAACCACTTTCAGTTTTGTTTGTCTGAAACTCTTTATCTCTCCTTCAATTCTGAATTATAACTTTTCTGGATAGAGTGTCCTTGGTTGTCAGTTTTTTTTCCTTTCAGCACTTTAAATATATCATGCCAGTACCTTCAGGCCTGCAACATTTCTGATAAAAAGCAACTGCTAGCCTTATGGGATTTCCCTTGTCTGTAACTGTCTGCTTTTCTCTTGCTGCTTCTAAGATTTTCTCTTTATCTTTAATCATTGCCATTTTAATTGCTGTGTGTCTTAGTGAGGATGTCCTTGGGTTCATCCTGTGTGGGCCTTTCTGTGCTTCCTGAATCTGGGTGTCAGTTTCCTTTCCTGGTTTATGGAAGTTTTCAGCTACTATTTCTTCAAATAGGTTTTCTGCCCCTTTCTCTATCTCTCTTCCTTCTGGGCCCCCCTTTAAGCAAACATTGTTTTGCTTAAATGATCTCTTAGTGTCTTTTAATTATTTTTTTAACTCATTTTTCTTCTCTTCAGCTTGAGTGCTTTCCATTACCCTGTCTTCCAGATTGCTGATCTGTTCTTCTGCATTCCCTATTTTTGCTGTTTAGTCCCTCGTGTATTTTTTTCATTTCAGTAGTTGTATTCTTCAGCTCTGACTTACTCTTTCTCATATTTTCCATCTCTTTGTTGAAGTTGTCACTGAGTTCATCTACTTTTTTCTCCAGTCTGGTGAGTATCTTTGTGACCATTACTTTGAACTCTTTATCCAGTAGATTATTCATCTCACTTAGCAATTTTTTGGCATTTTGTCATGTTCTTTCATTTGGAATATACTTTTGTCTGGCTTTCTTTGTATTAGATAAGTCAACTATGTCTCCTAGTCTTGAAAGCATTGGCATTACATAGTAGGTGTTCTTTGGTGCCCAGAAGTGCAGTAACCTCTGATCCCCAGAACCAGGCTTCCCAGGGGAGTCCCCTCTATAGGCTCTGTGCACCCTCCCATTGTGTCTGAGCCACAAATGCTGCAAATGGGCTGGTGGGCAAGGCCAGCTCTCTGCCTGGCTGTCAGCAGTGATCAGTGTGACTACTGTGGTTGCACTAACTTTACAAGGCTCACTCCAGGTGTGGCTAGCTGACAGGCTCAGCTGCAGCCCCTGCTGGTGCACTGGTGGGCAGGCCACCATTAGCAATGGCTGACAGGACTATGGCAAGGATGCTTGTGGATTGAGTTATCTTCTTCCTTCCCAGGGATGTAGTTTTTTTGGATGGGCACCTGCTGGGCAGGGCAAGTCCCCAGTGTAATGCCAGTCCCCATAGATGGAGAGTGTCAGAATTGCCTCCCACAAGCCTTGGGCCAGCTAGGCTGAGTAGAGCAAGAAAAATGGTGTCTGCCAGGCTCTCCTCCCCCAGGGAAATCTGCAGATCCCTGCCCTCTGGCACATGTCCCAAAATTAATCAACAAATCTCCTTCACGTTATAACTCAGGCACTTTTCAAACTGGCTGCTTCTGTGTTGAGTCTCAGACCAGTTTACACAGTCCAAGAGTGGAGATCAGCCTCCTGCAGCCCTCTGGCTCTCCCAGCATTAAGCCCTGCTGATTTTCAAAGCCAGATGTTATGGGAGCTGGTATTCTTGGTGCAGATCCCCAGGACCAGGAGTGCTAAGTATGGGGCTTTACCCCCCCACCCCTTATAACCTCACTTCTACCCACTTACGGGGTGGGGTTTGGATCTCTCTGCCCTGTTGCCCTTTTCTCATTGTGGCCTTCTCTTTGGCATTAACTATTGAAGGTCTGTTCTGCCAGTTTTCAGAGTGAGTTGTATTACATTTAGTTGCTGCTTCAGTGTGTTTGTGGGAGGAGTTTTATCACAGGGATCTCCTATTCTACCATCTTCCCAGAATCTGTTTCTTGTAATTCTTAAATTCTCATATGGTAATTTACAATTAGTAAGAGTATATATTATATCTGGTAGTATATATTAGTATATATGAAGACTGTATTACATACGTGATTTGTAATTTTTCTTGTAACACTTTTATATTAAATTTTTAGGACATCAATGCAAGCCTGAATAAGAAAAACAATTTCTTCCTCCTAAGCCATGGCATATCAGTTATATAGAAATACCACTTTGGGAAACAGTCTTCAGGAGAGCCTTGATGAGCTCATACAGGTGAGAGACGAAAAATCAACATTTAGATGCATCTGTAATTATTATTGTTATGTCCCTTCTCCCAGGCAAAGAGATACAGTTAAATATCTTAGACTCTTTGACCCAGCAAGTCAGTACTCAGATAAATAACCTCAAAATCCTGTGCATTATCCCATCTTGACAATTGGGCAAAATATAATCGTGATTGAATGATATAGTTTGATATATCAAAATTTTCAGAGATTTTTGTTAAACATAAAAATTGAGATTTGTATATATTGTTTTCCCCTCACGTCTATAACAAAGGCATATTCTATGTAGCTTTAAGATAATTTTGGACAATTTAATAAAGTCTTGAAATTTAGAAATTTGAATTTATATTTCAGTTTCAAACTTTGTATATAAACCTCTCATCTAAGAACACTAAATTTTTCCATTTGTTTTCTTATACCTTATGAGTTTTAATAAGAGTTATTAGATTTTTTTAAACATATTTGTCCTATGTGTTTTATTTAAAGGAACTTGTTGGTTCCTTCAATTTATTGAATACCTCTGTCCTTGAATATCTTCAAGAATACATCTTAAAGAAATGATAGGAAAGTTTTGTCCTGGCATTCTAAACTCACTGCATATTTTCATTTCAGAATTATGTTTGTGTCAAAATAGTGAAAGAGTATTGCCAGGCTTTGCTTCTTAATTGTCAGTTATGGTAAAGAAGAATAAGGGATCCTGGTTTAGAGACTGTGGTTAACCTCAGCTAAATTTTAGACAATAATCTGTATATATTTTTACTTTAATGTTCTTTCTGAAGAGGATTTATGACCTTTACTTTTTCTCAGTCTCAGCAGATCACTCCCCAACTTGCCCTTCAAGTTCTACTTCAGTTTGATAAGGCTATAAACTCAGCATTGGCTCAGAGGGTCAGGAACAGAGTCAATTTCAGGGTAAGAATATTTTCTTAAATCTCAAAGTATGTGCCAGTAGTTGTTACAATAGTGCTCTTTTTTATTTACCAATAATATTTAAAAAAAATTTTTTGCATATTTACTAAGCCATTAAAGTAAAAGATGATTTAAACTTTGGAACTTGTTTTATAATAACTAAATTATACTTTACATTTAAGTGATCTACATACCAAGCTTATTTCCTTAATATGAGATATGGAGTTGTTTTCAGAATTTATTCCATTGTTTCACAAATCAGCCTATGTGTTTGGCTGCCTTCCTTGAAGAGTTAACTGAGATTTCACATGCCTAAACCATTATGTGCAGAATTGAAGGTAAAAAAATAATTCCTAAGGCTCAGTTATATTTTTCAAACTCTGACCTTCACCCTTTCTAGTGGTAGTCTGTGGTCTGTTCTGTTAGCTGGGTCCCATTTGAGTCATTTATACTTGGAACAGTCATCCAAAACTGAACAAAATTATCTTTTTCCATATGATGGTAAATTTAAATTAATAGCCTATTGAAAAGAAAGATCATGAAAGAAAAAATTTTAATATATCATGATATTGATGGGAGTCATTGAGGGAGTCATAAGTGTATAATGATGTCACTTGATATTTATGCTTATGCTATAAGGGATGACTATAAAATATAAATTAAAAGGCTAAAGTATGTGAAAATCAATATATGAAAACAACATAGAGGTTAATTTGCATTTAAGATAACCTCAGTGTTTGAGGATGATGAAAACACAATTTATCATTTATTCAGTGAACATTTCAATACCTATTACATACCAGGCATTGTTCTGGGTATTTGTTTTACAGAGGAGAACAAGACAGACAAGGCCCCATTTGACTTATTTTTAGTGAAGGGATAAAAGCTGCATGTATTTACATTCATATAAATAAGTCTTTTGTCAGTTTCTTGTGCCTAAAACTTATATGGGATAAAATGTGACTTTGAAACTATAAAATTTTATCAGTGCATTCTTGAATTTAACACTGTTGATTCTGGCAAAATTAGTTCGTATAACCATAATGTACAAATTTGCCCATCTTGTCTTTCAGAATGCGATCATTTAATTCTAAATTGAACTGTGTAAATACATAAGCTTTTGCCCATGCAGAAAATTTGTTTGACTGCTTATCAGAGTCAATAGGGTTGACAAGGCCTGAATGGTCTTCTAGTTGTATTTATTTTAGGTTTCTAGTTTGGATCTATTTGGCTAAAGTTAAATGTAATCTGACATTTGCATTTCTCTTGCATAGTGTTTTGTAAGTTTGACTATATTCCAAAAGCAAAAAATAATATACTCTCAGTCTTTGACCAGATCTGACTTTTCTATTCTTGCTTTTTCTTTTCTACTACTCCTGCTTAAGCTCAGGCTCTCATTACACACCCCTTCCCAAGCCCCATTACAGCAGACTTGATCAGTTTTAAGTTCAGAAAATGTTTGGAAATAGCTAAACAGAAGTTAAGTTTGGTGGGGCTGAATATTTAGCCTTCCAAAGGCTCAGACCATTAGGCAGGGAGCTGATAAAATTAAAGAAACCATTTTTTTTTTTACATTTACAATTGTGTGCTTTTTTCATTTGACAGTGTAAATGGTTTTCCATGCATTAATCTCACCACTCCACTGGAACTTCTTGCCAAGTTATTGCTAAATCTAATGCAGTCTCTTTTGAAACCCTTAGTTCCCTTGAAACCATACTAACCTAGCTTCTTTTTTATTCTCTGGCCTCTCTCTCAGCTACTGCTGTCAGTTAATTTTGGTATTCCTTTAGGAATCTCTAGGGCTCCACAGAATCTCTTTGAATCGTCTCATCCAGCTACTTACAGACCAAGGTGACTTAGATCTCAGACTCAAGTTCCAAATTTAACTTGACTCCCAAACTAGCTTTTTCCATGAATGACATTGTTACTTAAGCTAGAAACTCGGGTGTTACCAACATTTCTCACTTCCCACCCTGCCCTACCCTACCCAGTTGGTTGGCAAGTCCTGTCAGTTCTGCATTGTAATTCTGTTGACCTTGCTACTGCTTTAGCAGAGGTTCTTTCACCTCTGACTCAGCCAGCTAAGAGGCTTTGGTCAGACTCCCCTCTAATCCATTTTTCGTGTCATCATCAAATATGCAAATTTAATTGTGTTACTCCTGTTGCTTAAAAATCCTTTGTTGATATCCTGATACGCTTAAGATAGGGCAAAGCCAGGATCTCCTTCACCTTCTGTTTTTCTGGAACTTACTATCCCTTTCCCAGTATTTACCTTACTTTCCATTGTCCCCAGTAACCTACTCTTTCATGGCCCCGTAATACTGCGTACTTATTTTAATGCTCTTTCCTACTAATCAAAGCTCATGATGGCAGGGATCATATGTATTGCTAACCATTATATTCCCAGAGCCTAGCACAGTCCAACAAATAGAGATTATTCATATTTACTAAGTAATCCATCTATAGCCACAGTTTCCCTAATGATTCTCATTTGATAGAACATTTAGATAGATCCCAATTTTTGCTGTTACAAGTAACTACAGGGAACATGTTTGTGTTGGATGCTTTTTTTCTGAATTGAAAGCTTTAAGCATATAAAATGTCTTATCAGATAACTCAGTTTCATATGTGAAAATGCACGTGTATATATCTCAGGTTTTGTTTTTTGTTGGTGTCTATTCTTACACCGTCACCACTCTTCAGAAATGTCCTTCTAATGTTCAAGAAGCATTATTGCTCTGTAAAAAAATATTTTTTTAATAAGAAGAATTTAGCTGCACAGAACAATAATGCTGTTCTTAATACCTGATACAGTAATTCATCTGAGCTAAGTCACAGATTAAAATTAATTCCCAATTACTTTGAAAAATGTATTTAAAATGAACTTCCATAATTTAGCCACATGAGGGCAGTAAATACACAGATTAAAATTTCCGTTCAGCTTTTCTTCAGATTTCAGGTAATTTGCAGAATCTTACAGTGTTGAAAATAGTCTGCTAACTACATATGTTTTAATTCTTCCCTTAGCAAATTTAGCTAAGACTTTCTTTAATGATAAGATGAAAGTTAAGAGAAGTCTTAAGCCAAGTTTCAAATAAATAACCCATACCATTTTAAGAATTATATACTTGCTAGTGGAGTTCTCAATTGCTTTGGGGGAAAGAATGACTTTTCATAGTATGTCTAAATGTTTTGTTTTAAAGGGCTCTCTGAATACATACAGATTCTGCGATAATGTGTGGACTTTTGTATTGAATGATGTGGAATTCAGAGAGATGACAGAACTTATTAAAGTGGATAAAGTGAAAATTGTAGCCTGTGATGGTAAAAGTAAGTGTTCACCTAATTACTGTGAAAGCAAAGCTATTTGAAATCTTGTTATTGTGAGTCTAGAAATTTTTCATCTGAAGTTAAGGGGGAAAGTGGCCACTGATCAACCAGATGGAGTCTGGCTTCTATCTGGGCTAGGTAATGAATTCCAGATCTCAGACAGTCCTCATATTGACTAGGAATAAACATTTCGTAGGATTCAGACTATTGTCACAGATTGGATTTGTGTGAGGAAAAATTGTAAGGAAATTAATAATTTTTCTTCCCTGTGCCACTTGGAGATTTTTCTCTAAGGAGGTGGTTAACTTTAAGAAGTTATCCTATAGTTTCTGTGTTACTGGGGTCACCTATGCATTTTCAGTTTTAGAGGTGATTATTTACAAGAGTTTAAGTGTTTCAAAAACTATACATCTCTGCTTTTAGTTCCATGATTACTTATTTACTTTTTGATAATTATATTTTAAATATATACTCTTGACTATATGGTCTCTACCATTTGTGTTTAAAGCAGCTATTCCTGAAATTAAATAGAGAAGACCATCACTCTCCACAAAGGGGAGTTTTGAAAAAGTGAAAGACAGAAATGTAGGAAGTAATACCCTTAACTTTAAACAGAAATGACTCTAACGTAGTCATCAAATACTTTTTTCCTTACTGTAAGAAGACAGGTCTATGTTTTATAGTTTATGGTTCACAAGAAAACATTTCTGTCAAATAATGTATACTTGTTAAATATTTTTCTTATAATTTAGGCTAATAGCATCCTTATAACCCTTAGGTGTTTGAGTTTTTTTCTAGGCTGTGGAATTTGGGCATTAATTTATAGTTCCTAGATGTCTGTCAAAATGAGTTGATGATACAGACATGTACACCTTCAGCACAGTGTAGTAAAAAATTGTTGAGTATTCTGGAAAAGCATACAATCTTAGAATTTTTTCTTTCCAAAATCAAAATATAAATGGTTTGGTATTTAGAGGTAGAGTTTAAGTAATTAAGAAAATACCATTCCTTATGACCAGATAAATGCAGTGCTACTATTAAATAAGCCCATTTTTCCTGACAGTCAGCTTTCTGAAATAAAGTTGAGTTCCTCACATAGAAGCAGAGAAAAAGTAAAAAGTGGCTACAGTTTTGATCTGTTTCTCACCAAGAATTAAATAAAATTCTATTATTATTATTATTATTATTATTATTATTATTATTATTATTATTATTATTATCATTATTATATGCTATGGGCTTTTGTGGTTTTTAAATTTGGGGACAGTAGAAAACCTGAAAAAATACGGTTATGTAGCAGGTACAGGAACCAAATGTAATATAACTTTTTTTTTCTCTAAATGAAAGCTAAGCATTGTCTTTCTACGTCGTAAGCTCTCAGGGTCTTGCCAAGGTCCGCCTTCCGCTTCAGCCCTGCTCCCTCTTCTCCCGCCCCTCAGCCAGCGCCGCCTTTAAGATAGTCTCAAAATATTTAACTTGAAATTTAAATTGCTCTTTGAATTTACTCTCTCTCTTCTGTTTCCTAGATACTGGCTCCAGTACTACAGAATGAATAGAAAAAAATGCCTTTTTTATGCCATCATGTTATTATTCATCACTTTTGAAGAGAAGCATTGAAGAGACTTTTTTTTATTTGTTGTAGCATTGCAGCAGTGACTACTGTGCTGCCAGAGAATTCCGCTAGAAAGAAGCTTGCAGCTTTGCAGCCTCTCACATTATCTCCACTAAACTGCATGAAGAAACAGAACTTTTTTTTTTAATGACAAATCAAACCTTGCCTAAGAACATTCTTTAATAAACTCATTTTAAAACTCAGTGTGAATGAATATTAACTGGTAGAGTTTTTAAACTAGCAACATGAAGACATTAGGTAATAAAATTAGAAAATATTTTCATCAGCTTTGACGACAGAAAGTACATCAGCAGGGGCAACACCAAATTCTGGATAGTAATTTTACTTAGAAAATACCTTTTTTAAAGGTACAAAACCAACCGTTGCTATGAAGAACCTATTAAATACAACTCAGGAAAAATTAGATACAGGCAGCTTCTACAGCCAAAACGAATTTAAAAATCTCTTTCTAACAATAGCTTTAAATGACATGTAAATGATTTGAGCCATATTACTCAACTTTCATACATTTTTAAGTGATCTACTTCTTACCAGTTACTAGACTTGCACTAAAAAATCCTACTAAATGTACAACATGCTCGAAGAAAAAATTTCCTTTGTTTGTCAATCTGAGAGTATGTAATAATGTGCCATTTCTGAAATATCAGAGGAAAGAATGTCAGGCACCAGGTAGTTGAGTAGCTAGAACTTCGCAGATAATATAAATGAATCAAGACCAACTATTTTTAATAAGGACCTGGCCCTGTTTATCATTTAGTAAAACTCCTGTGGTTAACCCCTGTTCAACCCTAGTTCAGTGTAGTAAAGCTACCACATAAGGATGAAAAATCACCTTTCTCTCTCTCAAGGATCCTGCTACTGAGCGATAATAGAGTTGGTAGTAATTTCAGCAAAATGGCTTTTCTTAAGCCTATTAAAATGTTAAATGCCTTTATATTGCACATGGTCGCCCCCATTTTCAATTGTATAAGCATGTTATATAAATGTCATCATTTTTAAGCAGCCAGTGCTCACGTTTGATGCTTTTAGCAACACAGAAATGAGACTTGTTTATAAGATAACAGCCAACATAACTATATTATGGGTGAGACCAAGTGCTCTATGTGTGACAGATATTCTGGATAATCCTCACAACAGCCCTGGATGAAGTTTCTTTCCTTTTACAAATTAAGAAATTGAAATTCAACTACCAAAGGTTACATAGTTAAGATTTTTCTTAATTGCAATTAGTCAAAACTGAGGCCACCCTGCTTTGGGGATTCAACATAGCAGCTAGGAGACAACTGTGTTGATAATCAAGTAAACCTAACAATAGTTGTAGAAATTTATATTTTTTCAGGAGTCATAGTCTAAACTTTTTACCTGTTGCTCACAGTCACTGAGCTCTTAACAGAAGCATAGGGCTGGAGTTATACCTGTTTTTGTCAATTTAAAATTCTGTGAATGATGTCAATACATCATACTTGAAAAAGACACAGAAGCACAGTACCCTAAAAAGACAGAAGCACGGTACCCTAGGTGAGGAGTTTGTTATAAGGTGGTTGGCATGACCTCCTACCTTGACCATCTACAGAATGGACCAGTAGTGACTACGCCATTCTGTGGGTGATCCTGCAATGTTGCCTCAGCATGTCAAGTGTAGTCCTGGGTGCTCACATTAAAACTCATCTTTGCAACCCATTTTGTGTGATCTATTCTGGTGTTCTCTTCATAACCTTCCCTACCAACCGTCACATAGTCTGCTCTGGTTAGGTTTGAGAAAGAAAAAGTCAGAGACCTAAGATTTCTGTTCTTTGGTTATGCTGTTTTCTCCATTTCTCATGCCTTTCCTTTCAGAATCAAAATCTTACCCATCCTTCAAAACTTAAACCCAGTTGTATCTGGGTGTAACACGAGACATTTAAATACATGAGAAAAAAACAGCAAAGGACAAGAAGGACTTAGGTCAGTTCCAATTCTCACTCATGCTCATACAGGTATCGGTTAAGAAATGCCTAGGATTTATGCCAGTAGTTGAAACCAGTTCTTGTATTAGATTAGCCACCACACACACCTCCACTGTTGCCTGGCGGGGAGCACAGAAGTCACAGCCTGATGTTTCCTCCTGGCAGTTCTAATTACTTGCATACACATCACACAGCTGTCGATTGTGGTGGAAGTGTTCTAATCTTCCCATAGTGGTTCTTGGACTTGGCTGGAATTACAGAAAAGGATCACAGCAAGAGCTCACACTACTTTGTGCTCTCCCACGGGCCACAGGCTCCAGAGATGATAAACTGATGTGCCTGTTAGCGTGGAGGACCGGACATCCATTAATTCATCTACTGTTAACAGTAAAAGCTGGTATCTGTGGTGATAATGTAGTCAGTCCTCTCTAGATTTATTACCAAATGCTATGTTAACACACAATAGAAGACAGCCTCTGGATTTAATGCAATATTGGTCGTTGGCTGAATTGTGATCAGCTAATTTTGGGAAAAATTTTCTCTTAGTAGATATCAATCACCGTCACCCAAATTTTGAGTGGGTCATAAATTGCTACTAAAGCTTAAAATGCATATGAATATTTGAATATAATATATCTCAACAGTGAGGAGGCAATTAGTTTGAAAGCATAGTTATGAAATTTGGATTCACAGGAAAGTGGAAATACAATTGACATGGTAAAATGAGCATATTACCACAAGTCGTGAAAGCTGGGCAGGGAATTTTTATTGGGCCTTTATATGGTCTGTGAGGAGGGGAGACAAATGAAACAAAGCTGAAATATTCAGGAAAGATCAGAGTATCCAGTGTAGGAGTTAAAAACGACTAGAAGAGTAATTATGGGAATGAGAGAACCTCAGATCAGGGAAATTTCATTGAAAACAAAAGAGCCCGGAATTCAAGTTGTTAAATGTGGACATTTGTCAGGACCTGCTATCCAAGATGCCATCTCTTGGTCATGTGATGAGGCTTACAGCTCAGAAACATCAAAACTGATTGGAACCTCAAAGATGACCCAATAAATCCAAATTCATTCAATGCACAGGAAAGTTAAGACCCTAAAAGGGATCTACTTTTACAAGACTAAAAAGCAAGTTGGGAGGAAAGCTAAGTGTAAAAACCTATGAATGCTGTGAAACTAGAATGCATGAAAATACAAGCTTCCTTCATGGCACTGCTAATTATCAAAGCATCTTTGGATAAATAACTCCCCCAGGAGTGTATTATACTAAGTTGTCCAAGTGAGAACTCAGTGGATAAAAGATCCATGCTTCCTGCTAAAGTATTTGAATGAAAAGATACAGTGACTAGCACTTAGTTCAAAAATAAATGAAGAGGCTTATGGGGGAGGGGCTATTGATAAAATTGACTGTGCGTTGGTAGTTGTGATAAAAAGTAATAGGTAAATGGGATTCATTATATTCTTCGACTTAAATATGATACAAAATTTCTTATAAGTTTTTTTGACATGGTAGAATGAGAGCATATTACCTACCATTCAATGCCTGCAATGTGTAGTAAGATTTGGCCTGAAATGTATTTGGGACTTGTTACATCATCTTAACATCACGGTGCATGGGTCTCACATAGCAACCTCATAACTCAGTTTCAGCTGCTTTGGACAGTGACTTGCCATCTCCTGGTGCCTTCCAGGACTCCTCTTGGAGACGTTTAGAAAGTCTTTGTCTTGTTAACCCATTTTAAAGATGCTCTCGAATTTGGTGAAAATTAATCCAGCTTTTTTTTTTTACATGCTTTATTAATAACAACCTTATTTTCCTACTGCATAGGTACATAGAATCTGCAGGGGTTTAGGGAAAGGCATTTCACCTTCTAAGAGGTACAGGAACTTGGCAACATGCAGCAAAGGATTAAGTGGGATTAGCTCAAGGGATCATTGTGCAGAAAGACTGTCAACAGTAGTCTCTGTTGAATGTTCCAACTCATTCTTTCCTAAAGTTCTGTTCCAGCATAAATTAGCTTCAAAAGTGGCTCTTCTACCGTTGGACAGAGATCTGGAATTATTCTTTCCAATTCTAGAGGCACAGGCAGCACTGATCCTTTGCCTGAGTTAACAGACTGGACACACATGCTGTATGCTTTTTCTGCCTCAGCTTTTATTCATTCTGTTCCACAAGATGAAGTACCACAAAAGACCCCAAAATAGCCAAAGCAATCTTGAGAAAGAAGAACTAAGCTAGAGCACATCACACTTCTGGATTTCAAATGACATTAAGAAGCTATAGTAACCAAAACAGTATGATACCCTTATAAAAACAGACACAGACATCAATGAAACAGCCCATGAATAAACCCATACATACAGTCAATTAATTCACAACAGAGGATCCAAGATACAATGGGAAATGCATTGTCTCTTCAATAAATAATGTTAGGAAAACTTGTCTACCATCTTACACAATACACAAAAGTCTACTCAAAATGGATTAAAGACTTGAATATAAGACCTGAAACCATAAAACTCTTAGAAGCAAACATAGGCAGTAAGCTTCTTGACATCTGCCTTGGCAATGATTTTTTGGATCTGACTCCAAAAGCAAAAATAGTAAGTGGCACTGCATCAAACTAAAAAGCTTCTGTACAGCAAAGGAAGCCATCAACTAAATGAAAAGGCAACCTATGGAATGGGAGAAAATACTTGCAAGTCACATAACTGGTAGGAGATTAATATCCAAAATACATACAGAACTCAAGCAACTCAATAGAAAAAATCACCCTATTATAAAATGGACAGAGGATCTGAATAGACATTTTTACAAAGAACATGTACAGATGGCCAGCAGTACATGAAATAATGCTATATCATTAATCTTCATGGAAATGTAAATCAAACCCATAATAAGGTATCATCTCACACCTATTAAAATGGCTGTCATCAAAAAGACAAAAAGCATTGGCAAGATGTGGAGGAAAAAAAACCCTTGTTCCCAGTTGGAGGGAATGCTAATTTGTGCAGCCATTATGTAAAACAGTATGGAGGTTCCTCAATTAAAAGCATAACCTTAGCAGTTCCTCAAAAATTAAAACTACAACTATCATATATTCTAGCAATTCCACTTCTGGGTATTTACGCAAAGGAAATGAAATCACTATCTCAAAAAGATATCTGCACCCCCATGTTCACTGCAGCATTATTTACAATGGCCATGACATGGAAATAACCTACGTGTCCATC